CGCAGGAGCGGCCGCGGTGGGCGCACCCGACCAGCCCGCATTCCGCAGCGACGAGCACGGGCGGCCGCCGGCTCCGGGCGAGGGCCGCGGCCACTTAAAGGGCCAGGCTCCCTTTCCCATCCCCGCCCCCGCCGACGTCACAGCCACACGGTTGGGGGCGGGGGAGAGAAAGGGGTCACAGCAGCTGGGTCCCCCACCCTAGAGCGCCTCACCCCGTCATCCTCTGGGGAGGGGGCCCCCTTCCCTCCAGCTGTACCATCCTCATCTTGGTGCTTCTCAGCGGGCCCCCCTCTCTTCCCACGGAGGGGTCTGTCCCCACATTCTGGCCTCTGCTGAGCACCCCCCGTGCTGAGACCCAGACTTCTCCTTTCGAGGTGGGCAGCACCCCTCCTCCCCAAGCAGCCTTCCCATTCTCACATGCTCACTGATTCAGGGGCTCAGGCGTGGGGACTCTGGGCAAGGTCGGGGAGACAGTCTAGTTCTTGATCTGGTGTCTCTAGGAGCCCTCCTCACACCATGGGGTCATGACTTCTTCCTGGCTCGGCCTTTGGAGAAATTGGGCCGAATACTCTAGGAGCAGCAGGCGGGGGAGGGAGGGGAAGGGGGGGGAGCGAGCCAGGTGGGCACAGCCAGGTCCCAGGTGGGCTCTCCTGGTGCATCCCAACCCAGGCCCCCAGGGAGACAGACCACTAAAGGCGCCGGGCTACGCGGCTGCCTGGGGGGGAGGGAGGGTGGAGCTCCGGGACCTTCTCAGATTCCCAGAAGGGCCCGGGGGTTCCCACTCCTGCTAGGGTGCGCACGCACACACCTGGGTTCCCACCTGAGTTCTGGGCAAGTCCCTGTTTTGCCCCAGACACGTAAAAGCCTAGACTGCTGCCCTCTCTCCCCTCCCCGCCCAGACCCCGAACTGAGCCCCGGTGTGATGGCTGGAGCGAAGGGTCTGCAATCCTGCGGCCTCTGTTTCTACCCGGACACAGACCCCACGTCCTGCCCCGATGACCTCGGGGCCACCGGAGCTGGGACGCACGTGCACACCCGCACACACAATCCGAAGACCAGCCTCCCGGAGCCACGCACAGACACAGACCCCCTCCGACCATGCAGACCAGGGCCAGACATGCAGGGCCAGGACCTGACCGGTGGCACACGTGCCTGCGCACGGTGCCGACCCACCGTGCCGGCCTCACGTGGCTCTGCCCGGAGCAGCCTGGCTGCGGCAGTAGGCACACTCTGCCTGCAGCCCCTCTCGAAGGCTGTTGGAGGTCTGTGCTCCCCCTGGACACCAGTGCCGGGGGGCCAGCCTGGCGCTCATCGACCACCTCACTCGTGCCTGTGCCTGGCAGCTGCTCAGGGCAGGACCCGAGGGAGCAGAGTGTCCCATCGGCTGTGTGACAAGTGGGTAGCGCTCTCCACACCCTCCACACTCCGCCCGCCTGCCACATCCCCTGCAGAGGGCAGGGGGCGGGAACACTCACCAAGGCCCCGGGACCCAGGTGGGGAGGGCGCATGTCCCTGGGTCCCGGGCCTCCTCTGGGGGTCCTCAGCCACTGGCCCCAGGGGTAAGGACTCAGCGGGAACCACTGCACATGTGCGTGTGTGCGCACACATACGGGGGGGGGCTTCCCAGCCCCCCAGGCTGGCCTGGCTGCTTTGGGGGACAGGAAGCCCCGTGGGGACCTCTGCTGGCCCTAGGTAGGTATCGTGATTAGTAGGCTGTCGCCAGGTGTCCTGTGTGTGGCTGCAGCATGCAGGAACAGGCCCCCCGCCCCGCAGCGTGGGACCAGTTCTGCTCAGACTGGGGCTCCCAGAGGGTGGGGCCTAGGCCTCCCCCTTCAGACGGTCGCCGGGGTGCGGGGATTCCCAGCGGAGCCGCGTCTTTGCCTTGATCTCTCCCCGCCCCCCACCACAAGTGGTGTTTGGGGGTTTCCTCCCGTCCGTGTCTTCACCTGCTCGTCGTGGGCCCCTGCTGGAGGGAGTCCTAAAGCCTGGGGCCCAGGGGAGGGGACAGGAGCCTGGAGCGTCCGGCCCTACTGAGACACGCCCCCGCCCGCACTGCCTGGGCCAGCGCTGCTCTGTGGCTGGCTCAGAGGGAAGAACAGAGGTGGATCCAGAAGCCTCGCTCCCCGGACGCCCCTGCCCCCCAGCCAAGCTGGCAGTGGGGAGAGGGTGCCCCACAGCCCCTCGGAGCTCACCGGTGAGGATGGCCACGCTGTCGAAGCAGCCGTCCAGCTTGCTGAGCAGGACGGAGAGGAAGCTGTCTGCGGCCAGCACGCTGGCGTCCCGTGTGCTCTGGTCATAAACGACCACATCCTGTGGCTCGGTCGCCTCCACCTGGGGGCCGTGAGGGCAGAGGTCAGGGCTCACTGGGCACCTGCTAAAGGCCCCCACCCCCTGCTGAGGAGTGGGGGGGGCTTAGGTGACAGGTGGGAGGGACTGCTGTGACACCTTGCTGCCTGCAGGGGACGGCAGGAACCCAGCTGCCCACTTCACGCCTGGACAGGTGTAAACCCATGGCCCACAGGTGGAGCCTTGGAGCAGGCAGAGACGAAAGACACTGGTCCCCAAGGCAACCAAGCCCTCACGCACACTCACAGGAGTGACAGGAACAAACACTCCTGGGCCTTCACCGCGGGCCAGGCCCACGAGGAGGAGATGCAGGTGAACATAACAGGGTCCCCAGGAGGCACATACGGCTGACCATGGTGACGGGAGGGCGCGGCCTCGGACTGGGCTGGCTCTCAGGATGGCCAAGGCATTTTTAGGGTCCCCCAGCAGGCCCATTTCGGGGATTCAAGGGCAGAGCGCCTTTAAGTCTGGGCTCCCCTCCCCACCGCCCCACCCCCACAGGCCAGCAACAGTGTGACTGACGGCTGCAGCGAGAGTCCCCCCAGTTCAAGAGGCAGCAGCTGGAGGCTGAGGTGCCACCTGCCCTCCTCCCCTCCGTGAGCGGCCTGGGGCCAGATGTTCAGCAGCTTGGGCTCCAAGAGCGGCGGATGCCCCCGCCCCCCAAGCACACTCAGCCCTTAAGCCAGCTGAGCCGCCGCCGACCCGGCCCGATGATGTCACCGGCAGCCAATGGGATGGTGCTCCGGCCGGGAGTCCTCGCTGGGGGTGATTGATCACCCGACTCCCCTCACTGAGGCTGCAGGGAGCCGGTTCTGCCTGTGGGGTGGGGGCCACCCACCTGGGTCCTCTCACATTCAGCTCTGCACGGGGCAGGGCCTGGGACCGTGACTCCCCACAGTCCCCCGCTGGGCATGTGACTGAGACCCCCCCAGAGCCCCCAGGCTGCCTGGCATGTCACCTGTCCTCCACTGGAGGTGCCACTGCCTTCCCAAGCACTGGCCTAGTGGTCCCTCCCCAGCTGTACTTGATGCTCTTGGGAATAGAGACAGCATTGTGACAGCAGGTGACCCAAGACATTCCTGGGGGGCCACAGAGAATACTGGGTTGCTGTAGACTTCAGAGGGGAAGGCGCTGGGGGCTGGGGACAAACTACTCAGTGTGGGCCCCTGGGCCTCTTCTGAGTCCTTGCAGCCACCAGAGTGTGCCGTCCTGGTCCACTGTCCCATCTGCTGCCTGTGCCCCCACCTTCTGCCCCTGGATGCGGTCACGCCTCGCTCATCACTCAGTGCCTGCTTTGGGCACTGTGCCGTGTGGGGGAGACCTCTGGGCAGGGCTGAGTGAGGACCCAGACGGTGTCGGAGGCTCCCGGAGGTGGGATGGGAGGGTGAAGGGTGGTGTCTGGGGGGCAGGGTGTCGCGTGGGCCTCCCCGGGGAGGGCACTCCCACAGCCCTGAGAGGGAAGCTTCGTGAGGAGCGGGGAGCTGGCCGGTGACGTAGAATGGCCGAGAACCTGCTGACCTGGGGATCCTGGTTTGGGTTCAAGGGCAGAGGACAGGGAGGCTGCCCAGGCCCAGGGCCCCCGTGCGCCTGGCCCGGGGGTGACGGGAGTCGGCGGGGCGTGGGCGCGGTGGGGCGCAGGGTACCTGGCCGTGCACGGCGGGCGGGATGAGCTCCGAGATGGTCACTCTGCCCTGCTGCAGCCGACGCTTCACCAGCTTGGAGCAGCAGATGTTCACGGAGCGGAGCACGTGCCCGCGGTTGTATTCCACAAACGAGCGGCTGTCGATGACCAGCGGCCCCCCGGGCCCGCCCCGCAGCAGGCTGGCCAGCCTCTTGGCATCCATCACCTTCCTGGGGAGCCGGTCCCCCGCCATGGCGGGCAACGGGCAAGGTGGGAGGGTTCTCTTTGAAGTGGGCAGGTGTGGCCTAGAGTTCAGAGTGACCAGGCATGGCGCCGGACCTGCAGAGAGAGGCAGACGGTCAGCTCTGCAGGCCCCTGGGGGGCGCCGGCCAGCTCCCCAGGCGGGGCCGACCCCAGAGGGGCTGGTGTGTGGTCCCAGGGCACAGAAGGCCCGGGCCTGCCATGTGCCCATAGGCCCTTCCTTCCTTGGGGTGAATTAGTGTCCCTCTGGCTCGTCTCTGAAAGTCGCCGAACGTCTCAGGTGAGCACGCTGGAATCTGTGACTCTGTGACCACAGACGGAGCTGGAAGAGTGCCGGGGGGCTTGGGGGTGGGCCCCTCAGTCCTGCACCACCCAGATCACAGAGCCGGCCTCTCGGCAGGTGGCGCCGAGGCAGGCGGGAGACCAGAGGGAAGGGGCTCAGGGCTTGGGCTGGGCTGGAGAGGCGGCACGAGGCCTGAGGGTCCCGCCCCGGGGCCCTTGGGTCTGTGGACGCCCACTCATTTCAGAGCACTGCCTCCTACTCCTGGGGCTTCTGGCACCCCACCTCCCCTCTCTGGCCCCTCATCTTCCCAGTCCCCAGGACCCCTCCACAGCACGCCGGCCCTGCCGTCTAAGCTGATAATCTGTCCGGGTGGGGGAGCTGGGAGGGCTGGGGCTCCCAGAGGCCCCTGGGTGCCCAGGGCAGGGCCGGGAGGGGGCTTGGGCACGCAGGGCGGGGCCCCTCTGCTGCGGCTTGGTCACGCCTGCGCAGAGGGGCTGAGGCCCGCGTCCTTCTCCTGAAGAGTGGGTCACCCGCTCCCAGAATGGGGGTGCTAGGACAAAGGTCAACATGGGCGCCGCTTATCTGCGACCCTTGGCATGGCCTCCAAGGGCCTCGGGCTGCAGGGTGCAGTGGGGGCAGGCGGTGGTTGGGGTTCGGGGTCCGCAGAGCCCTGGGCAGAGCCTTGTCCTGCAGCGTCTGTGCCCAGCCCCTGCTTCCCCACCTGCCAGGCCCCACCTCTCCGTTCTTCATTTAGGACGGGCCTCAGGGGCCACGTGGTCTCAGGACGGCAGAGTTTGCTTTAAAGAAGAGGAAACTAAGGCTCAGAAAAGGGGTGGGGCCAACCCAAGGTCACACCAAGGAGACTAGACAGAACCCAAGACCTGTACTGGCTGCCAGCTCACCGGTTCCTCCCTCTGTCACCTCCCCACCCCGCTGAGGGGTGGGAGGGGGCTGCGGGACAGATGTGCCCCCAAGGCCCACAGAGAGGGGACCCCCTCAGCAGGGCGCCAAACCCCACAGCCACAGAGGGTGTTGGGGTGTGGCACCCTGAGAGCACTTGTCACATTTCAAAGTGACGTTGACACTGGGGACAACAGCGGCAGCTGCCACCATTTCTGGACCACCCCTTTTGCGAGCTCCCAGGCTGGCGGGGTGACGGCAGAGTTCACAGAGACATGGCTGCAAGGCAGGTGTGGACCGTGTCCCCCCAGAGTGGCAGCCTTCGGAGGACCACGGAGCTGGCGGCGAGGGAAGTGCCCAGGACGGCCCTGATGTGGACAGGGCCTCGGACACCGCTCCCCAGGCTCCCACAGTGGGGGTGCAACCCAGGGCAGCCGCCCCTCCCGAGCACCACAGTAAATGGGTTCAACAGCCAAAGGGCCTGCCTGCCGAGGAGTGTCCCCACCCGCTGAGGGGGTTCTGCCTGCTGGAGGACCCTCTGTTTGATTCCTGTATGGGCAGTTTTGGGCAGCCTCTGCGTTCTAAGCTGAATCTCATCAAGGCTGTGACAGGCCACAGCCACCAGGTACCCTCCCACATACCACCCCTGCGGGCCTGGGCTGAGCCTCCTTCTCTTGGATGTGGCCCAAGAGTCCAGCTCAGAGGCCCAGGACCCTGAGGCAAGGCGGGGAGGGTCCTGCACCATGCTCCTGATCTCCCGTCCTCATCGGCTACGTGGGGGCATTAACTCCCACCTAGAACAGCGAGAGCCAAATGGAGCTTCAGTCCAGGGACGAGGAGGGGCACGGGGGAGAGGGGCCTGCATGCACGCTGCCCTCGGTCCTCAATCCTCCCCAGAGCACTGAGAGGAGGGGCTGGGGCACGGAGGGGTCCCCCCCACAGAGGGGAGTCCAGACTGGAGCGGGGAAAGGAGCCAGGTCAGGCTGAGACCCAGGAGGAGGGGGTGGGGTAGGGGCTGGAGGGGGGCTGGGCAGCCCGGTACCTGGTCCCTTCCCGCCCCCGCCCCCCCCAACAAGGATCCTCTAGCTCGGCCCTATTAACCACTACAGTATTGTTATCTGCAGCCAAGGGGGACTCATTAGCCAGTTAGCACCTCCATCGTTGCCATGGCAACAGCAGAGGTGCCAGGCAACCGCTGTTCCTGCGACAGCAGCCGGGAAACAGGCTGGCTCCGCGCTCTGGCTCTGCGGAGCCGCAGGTCTCGGCCCCTCCCCACCCCTGCAGGTGCCCAGTAGCCGGGGCCTGGGACCACCCGCAGCCAGGGCCCAGGAGGCCTGGAGCCATGCAAGCCAAGCCCCTCCCCTCCCGTCTGCTGGGTCCTACCCCCACTCATGTCTGCTTCCACCCGCACGGGCTCCTGCCCCTCCTGTGGGAGACCGCTTGCCCTGAGCTGGCCTCTTGGGAGGGCGTCCTCACCCGCAGGGCCTCCTTGAACCTAAGGCTCCTGGGGGGCAGACCCCTGACCCCTCTCCCACGGATGCTATGGATCAGGGCCCAGAGCTGGTGGTCACAGGGCCAGGGGCGGGCTGCAGACACTCAGGACAGCCTCGAGCAGGTCAGTGGGGCTAGAACAGGCCAGGTGGACAGAGGATACAGATGTTGTGGGGTGTTGGGCCTCCCCGCTTTCTAGGACCCACTCCAGGCTCGCCCGCAGGGGTGTGGTGGGGAGAGAGGCCCAGCCCCATTCGCCCCCACCACAGGGCTCAGAGCGAAGAGCCGGTTGTCCCCAGTCCAGAGGCAGCAGACCCCTCCCTGCCCTGGCCGGGTGCTGCCGGGGACGCCAGGTACACTGCACGGCCCTGCTCCTGCGCCACGTGCCTGCCATGCCCGCTGGGACACGTCCCCACACACTGACCACACGCAGACCAGTTCTCGCCTCTTTCCCACAATCCACCCCGCCCCCCACTGACACCACGTGCAGTTACACGCACATGTGCATGCACATACATGTGGTCACTGGACGCATGCGCCCTCACCCTCCGCATGCCAAAGCCCCCCACCTCCCAGGACACCCGAAGCCCAGGTGCCAGATCTCACTCCGTCAGCTCACGAGGCCTCCACATGGCACATCCGTATCCCTGAGCACACACATGGCCAGGGACCTCCCGACTGTCAGCATCCTCACCAAGGTACCTTCTGCCCTGCATCTCGTGCTGGGGAACTGACTGCCTCCAGAGACGGCGGTCAGGATGGGAAGCAGGGTCTGCGGCTCTCACTCAGTGGTGCCTGGCACACACAGGCAGACTCTCAAGCAGCGGGACTCGGTAAGCTGAGATGTCCAGCTCACTGTGACCCAAGGGTGCCTCTGGAGGCAGGGACCGGGTGCCCACACCTGGCCAGCTCACGTTACTCTCCTCTGCGCTCACACCCCTGCGCCCCCTCTCAGCTCTCCAACGCGGGTGGGACAGGACCCAGGCGGGCCTTCCCTGCCCCCGCTGGGCCCGTGGGCATGCCAAACAGAGGCAGCCTGGCCTGGGGACAGTGGGGACTTCAGAAGCAGTGGGGTGGGGGCCCTGCCCCCTTGGTTCCCAGGGGTCTGGGCTGAGCCCCGGGTGGGAGGACTCAGCACGCTCAGGGACCTAGGATATCTGGGCTTCTTCAGTCTCAACCTCGCTGATCTGCAGGACTTGTCCCCAGGCCAGCCCAGCCTTCTCCTGGTCACCATTCACCATGTTATACACCTGGGCCAGCCCAGGACATCTACGGGTCACTGCCCTGAGCTGTCCAGGCATAAGTGGCCTCAGCCCACGCAGTCCCGGTCAGGGTCTGACACGTCTCTCTGGCTGTGGGTTTGGTCCCCTCCTGTCCCTTCCCTGGGAACTGCACGTCTTGGAGGTGTAATCAGGATGCTCTCTGGCTCCTCCAGACATGGCCCACGGTCCCTGGAGCACCCTGCTGGGCCGGAGCTTCTGGGCCCTGAGGTCAGCCTCAGCCCGAGGAGAGGAGATGCAGGAAGGGACCTGGAGCACAGGGTGACTCCGAGCACCCTTCCACATCTCCCTTCATGACACGCGCTCTTCCCGCAGACAGCCTCAGGGGCCCAGGGCCTTCCTGAGGGCTGAGGGAAGCAGGGCACCAGAGCCCACCCCGCACCCCCAGCCGGGCTGACTGCAGCAAGAGGCACTGCAGTAGGCCTCGGGGGGATGCCCGTCCTTGGCCGGCGCTCACCGCCATCTGAGGAGCGAATGCACAGACACCTGTGCTCCCGTCGCAGGGGCCACTGGGTGTCACATGCATTCCCGGGGCTGCCCTGGGAACGAGAAAGTCTGGCGGGCCCAGAGGAGGACGAGTGGGGCTGCCCTGGCCTGCAGCAGCCCCGCCGCAAGCTGAACGACAGGACACCGCTAACGCCACACTAGAGCCTGCCGCGAATCCGCCTCCAGCACCCCTCACTGCAGCTCCCAGGCCCCCAAGCACAAACCCGAAGGCACATTCTCCCAGAGGGATGACCTGCTGGAGCCTAGGCCTAGGGGTGCCCCTCCCCTCCGGGCCAGACTATTAAGTGGCCCCCCAGGTGGGAAGATAGGCCAAGGGAGGCTGGCTGCACTCAGCCTGGCGGTGCCAGCCCCTCCCCCAGCGCTCGGCTGTCTCTGCAGCAGGCTGGCGACGGTCTTTATTCCGCAGAGGCCAGCTGAGCGCCCCGAGGTGGGGGTGCCCCTGCGGCCTGGGCGGACAGGGGATCTGGCTCTGCAGCCCCTCCCCGCCGGGCACGGAACGAGCCCCGTGCTGAGCCTCTCAAAGGCCAAAGCCCTCGGCTCGGACGGCCAAGGCCTCCGCATCCCTCACCGGCCCGCGCGGCAGGAGCGACCTTCTCCGAGGGCTGTCCGGGGGGGCGGGAGGAGGCGTCCTGGGCTCGGGCAGAAGTCGGGACAGATCCCCGCTGGATCGCAAATGGCCCTCCTGGGTCCTTCATTCATGCCCCTCCCCCCACCCACATAAGAGGCAAGAGCAAGGGGAACGGCCGCGAAGCGGGCGCCGGGTGCGCGC